GTTTTAATTGATATACGATTATGTATATTAATTCGATAAATGTTTAAAATGAAACATTTAAATATAAAGAACGTAAAGTAAATTAATTAACTAATTATAGGAGTATAAAGTGCAAATTTAAAATTATAGTTTTAAAAAAATCGTTGTGTGTGGGAAGGTGAGTGCATGTGAGGAGGGGAGGGGGCGAAAAGTGAAAAAAGTGTATAAAGGGTATCTTGGTCATTTAGTATTTTAAGACTATGACTTTTACTAAATTTGTTTTTTAAGATAGTATAGATAGATAAACACATTCTGCTCTTGAGGTTCTACGATGTTAACATCCCGTGTGTGTTTCCTGTGCATCATGTTTGGGAGGGAAGGAGGTAAGAGTTGGTAGTGTTGTGATGGTAGCTACAATTTTGATTTGGAAAATAGGTGACAACATAATTGACAATAGGGAATGATAATGACTGGGCCTGATTTTTGAAGCAATTTCAAGACTGATACGCTTATCAAAGGTAATAAGAGAGTCACAAGCACAAACGACACCAATAACGGGTTTATAGATAGGTACAAGATTTGATAGATTGCATGTATTCTATGATATGTTGGCTGGTTTTGTAGAGGGTGTCTAATAGTTCCTTAATTTGGAGATGGACCATAAGAATTATTGAAATAGGTAATTTATAGCAAGTGCAATCCAAGCAGTGTGAGTGTTGGCAAAGCGAGCAACGAGCTCGATGGTAGGAAACTAGGTGCCAAAAAGATTGTCGAAAATAAGTCAATATTGGCAATAAGATATTTGAACCCTAACCCAAAATATATACAAGAATGCATGATCTTAACCTAACCAGCTATATATATATACATATATATATATATATATATATAACCAACCTCTCTCTCTCTCTCTCTTTATATATATATATATATATATATATATATATATCTTCTGTTTGTTGTATGTTTAATACAATCTACAGTATAACATCTTTGGAGATGACAACTCTTTCTTTAATTAGATAACCACAACCCTAATCCGGGTGTACACAACAAGAAAACTAATAAGGAGATTAAAAATAGCCAATCTAACTAATTATATAATAAAACAGTTCAATATCCCCAGGTATCAATAAGATGCCAATATTAGAAATACTGAATGAACTCTTAACTTATTTATTTCCCTACTGGCAAGTGGTAACTGGTATTCATAAAACCCGATATCGAACCGAGTCAATGTCGGCTCACAATCGTCATATTAAGACGCAACACATGATTAGTTCATGAAGGGGAAACACAGTAAAAAAAATAGAAACAAATGGGTATAGGAGAAGCTTACCCATTATATTCATCTTGTAACACTTTTCCCGTCAATTTGGAAACTTCCTTTAAGGCTTCTCTCCATTCATCAATCTTCTCCTTTGAATGCTCACCACTTCCCTCATATCTATCAAAACATTCTTTAAAGCTCCCCTTCTGATATCCCACCTCTGTGGGTTCCACATTATAGAAGATAGGGAAAAGCCTATGACGATCATCAGAGTTTCTTCGTTGAAGAATGCGAACCAGCTCATCCAGACACCATTCAGAAGAAGCATATTCTCGGGAGAAAACAATAACCGACATCATGGAGTCGATTCGCTGGCGTTTCTGGATTTCATGGTCGTCTCGGAAAGTGTGGAATCCAGCGTTACAGAAGGCTGTGTAGAGGTGATCTGTGAAGTGTTTTCGGATGTCAGCACAGTTGAAGCTTAGAAAGATATGGTAAGCGCAAGTAGCAGAGGAAGAAGGGTGTAGGATGTCCATAACAATAATTGGTGAAAAGGATTATGCATTCCACGCTATTTATTCTCATTCCAAGAATCAGTTAACTACCAACAAACCCATATAGAAAATTAGCTAGAAACATAACTACAGCCTAACTACCAAATATTACCTAACTGAGTTATTACAGCTGGACAAATGTTAATACCCTTAATTTGTCCTAAATATAACCTTAATTAATTAGAAGAAGAAGTTTAATAACACTAAAATGAAGGGTTAAATATGAACTTATGCTGACAGCTATATCTTGGACGGCCAGATGCAATGGAATCCACGCTCCTTTTTAAAATTTTAAAAAAAATCTTTTAACGATTTCCGGCGGAAAAATAATAAAAAATTTAACAAATAAAGAAAAATTATTTTTTAAAAATTAAAAATTAAATCCTTAAACCGTATTAGGTTTTAATGGATAGTATTTGCTTTAACGGACCGTATTTGCTTTAATGGACCGTATTGGCCTTAATGGATCGTATTGGACATTAATGGACCGTATTGG